GTAAGGGTAGGGTATAATGAAAAAGAGTGGTAGACTTCTAACAACTGCAGAGATGACTTTTCGTTGTACTCAGAGTACTTCAAGTGTCACTGAGCTGCAATACACACATTAGCCAGCAGTTTCTCTGAGGTTAGCTGTTGTTATGTTATGATCATGGCACCAGACTCTGAGGGTAACAGGTTTTCTGTAACAAACTAGATCAAATGTCCTATGGGGTTTACTTGTTTGACTTAGATAACAATGCATAAGTTGTGATTTGCAAGTTATATTTTAACTCTTACTCTGAAGTGTTTGCAAAAAAGTTTTGCAAAGCAATCTTTAAATAGCGTGTGCAAAACACAAAGTTAAAATTCATTTTTAAAATTTGCACAACAATGTGGTGAAGCTGATCACAACTACAGTTTCTACAGAAATTACCTACATTGTGCAAAGTTTCATATAGTTTCTAAATAAAAACCAGGTTAAGTAGTAAAACTTACTCAGGCCTACAAATGGCGCCCCTGCCTTTCTGATGTCCCATCTACTGTGTTTTCAATGCCCATTTGGCAGCAGTGCAGCCCGTGTGTGGGCTACAGCTTTGTGTTAACCACACTGACATGCTAACTGGGCAGCTACATAAGCAAGAACTTGTTACGATGTCTTCTTTTATCGCGATGTGCGACATTGTGCAATTCCAAACACCGGTTTTGTTGCCATAAAAACAACACAACATACTCGTTATAAGCCACTCACTTGATGAAGTAACTGGCTCCTTCGTCCGTGAAGCCCTCTTCCCATCCTCTGGGCAAGTCTGCAACACGAACAAAAACACGCTGAGCAATACACTCACTCACTCACTCTCACACACACTGCAGCAAAACTCACGTCCTCTCCACGTCCTACAAAACCCTCACAAATGGGTCGCGTACCTGACCGTATCATATGTCCTGAGTTAACCGGTTCTCCAGTGCGCGGATGGAGCCAAGTGGTGCTTTGAGTTTTATCACTGCAACACAGAGACACCTGTTACTGAGCCATTATTTGAAAGAAAAATCCCTGGAAAAAACATCCTCTGCGGCGCTGCAAGGCAAACCGGCCAAGTGTCGGAGCGTTTTCTGCTCGAAGTCACTTACTTAATGAAGAAGACGCGGCCATCTCTGCAAACTCCATACGACCAGTGCTCAGGTAGAGTGTCCCGTCCGAGAGGGGCCGCCATGATTTTTCCTCTGTGGCTGCTGGGTGGGATTGTCCCCTTCTCCCTCCCCTCTAACTCTCTCGCTCTCTCTCTCTCACCCATTCACTTGCACACACGCCCCCTCCCTCTCTCCGGTCCGCAGACTTTTCCAGAGAACATACACGATACCAACACCGGAGCTGCACAGTTTTTTAAAGGGGAAGAAACCGAAGTGGACAACAGCAGGATACCGAGTGAGGTCTGCGCTGTGTTCGTAATCTGAGCACACAAAACACAAATCATTATGTTCTGACACAAATTACAGAATAGGAGCACAAATACATGGGCACTGGTCAAACAGAAGACCATGCAAACAGTGTGCATAGCAGTCAATTTGACCTTGAAATATTTTTGTGCACCTGGACATTTTAAACTACATAAGTAACCTTTGGTGCACCTGAACATTTTAAACTACATAAGTAACCTTTGCAATGTCAAAGAGGAGAACCGTCAGCTGATGGCAATACAACAAATATAATACCTGCAAATTAGTGTGCCAGTATTCTGCTGAAGGTGAGTTAAATATTTGTCCTTTACATATTAAGCTATATGTATAAAAGCTTTGAGACCTTCGATTAATATAGATCAAAATAAAATAAAAAATCAGGAAAGGCTAATGGTTAGTCAAAATACTTCTGTACCTGGCTGGTAGTCATTACTACCTTCATTCCAGAGCAAGTTGATTTTAAGCAAAAGTATAATGCCAAAAATAAGCAAGGTTATTAAAGTAAGCCCAGTTTCCCAAACTATAAGTTCAGCAGCAAGAATGACAGAAAATAGCTAAAGGTTAGCTGAAAAAGGAAAAAAATAATTACTCCATAATGCACCCTCCTAGTAGATGATTGTATCCCATTCAACTCAACTATTTAAAAATTTAACTTTTACCGCATGTTTTATGATACACTGCTACCATATACCTAAACTATTTTCATGTAGTAAAAATTAACTCAAAGTTGTGTCAAGTACTTACAAACAAGAGGGGCAGGAGTAACGGGCAGATGGAGGCACATTGCAAATGGTGCACTGCCATACTGTAGGTGGTCACATTATTTTTATATAATTCAAAATTTAAATTTTATTTTAATTTAAATATTGTTTTTATTTCTATATACTCAACTTTAAAAAAACAGATAATCATGTTTTTTTATGGTTTGTGTAGTTACTTTATAAAATGTAGAAAAACCACGACGTGCTGAGACTCATTTAATCTCTGCAAAAGCTGTCACTGCATCATAGACAGAGCTCTCCTGCCCGCCTGTGTGTGTCTGTGTATGACTTGTTCTGGAAGCTTTAGGTGCAGTTTCACCTTCACTGCGGTCACATTTTAAGAACAGAGAGCCTCTCTAACCGTGTCGCAGTAACACTTCTACTGTATTAAAAAAGATCAGCCCAATTCTCCAGTGCAGCCCATAAATTTTACTGGACTCATGTAGGAGTATAACAGATTCAATGTCACACAATATCAACATTATGGCACAGCCCTTATAACCTAATGCACCCTGTCTGTTGGACAGATAAGTTGTCCCTGCTAATCCAAGATAATCCAAGACAAGACACCTTTTTTTTTTTCAAAAATCCTTATGCTTCCTCAGACATGTAGCTAAAAGTAACTTATGTTTCCTCTGCCAAAGAGACCAATCTGTTGGCCAACAGCAACAAACATCTGCTATAAATATTTGATCTGTAATTTCCTTTTTGGATGGACCTTTGTGTGAACATTCTCCAGTGGTTTAAGGCTGTGTTCTTCAAAGACAAAGTGAGATAAAACACTTCCTTTCAAAAACTCTTAGCGTGCAGCTGCGGGATCTTTCGGTGTTAATATTTCAAGTCTCCATGACAGAAAAGTCAGATAAAGAGAATATTTCTGCTGTGATACACCTGACTTTCTCCTTATAGCAGTGTTTCCCAAACACAGTGCTACGGCACGAGAGTGGGCGAGAGATCATCAAGTATACTACAGAAAAGTTCACTATTTTGGTCTAAAAACTATTTATTTACTGCAAATAATCAGCTTTTGTTGTGTATGAACAGTGACAGTCATAACAATTTAATACGAATCCACTGGGTGGCAGCAGATGGCTATAAAAACTAAAAAAGTGCAGCTGAGAGCAGAGCTGTTGAAGAAGATCTTTGTGTACATCTTTCTTTAACTCCTGTGAGCATAACAGCATTGTTTTCAATGATTAGCATTGTTGGCTGTTGAATAATGTAATTGTAGTCGTGTAGTTTGACAAACCACTCAAGATTTTCTACAATTTCCAGTGTGATATCAGGTACCATATTGTAACTCATAATAAAAAATAGTGTAAGACATAATACCAAATAGCAAACAAAGCCTTTAGCAAGTGACAATAATACATTTTAACGTGTGTTCGTTCTTGTTTTGCACAATGTTTTGCACTAACTTCAAGCTAAGAGCGGCAGTAGCCAGCGATTATCACAACAATTAGGGTACGGCTTTTAAATAGACGTTTAAAGCGAGAGTAATAAACATTATCCAGTCTGTTAAGTAAAGCACAGGATAGTGTATCATCATAAATACTGCAGTGTAATCATTTTGTATCCCTACTCAATTGCTCTTTTTTGACCTTGCTATGATTTATTATCAGCCACCGTTCTCAGCATACCCATCCACTTATCCATACTAATTTGCACACACGAATACACACATTTTATGCGCAGTCCATTGGAGCTCTGCAGTATGTGGTGTGTCGCTGCTGCTGCTCCTGCTGCTGCCTCTTAGTTGCCAGAGGTTCACAATGCAGCAAGGTGACTCAATGATATTGTCTTCGTCAAACAGGGAGACTCCTGTTGAATCACAGTTTACTGGTTAAAGAGCAAAATCCTGTCCACCTGACACTGATGTATTTAATTTAACATTGTCTTCAGTTTTAATTTTTCTAGCAGTTTCTAAGAGCATAGTTTTCTATTTCTTTAAATTCTTTATTTATCTTGATGTATAAAAGGTGCATCCGACACACCAAACCTTTTATGTAATCCAGTGTTTAAACGTGATAAAAAAAAAGTTGGGTTAAAGTGTTGAGTGTTGAGACTCTCTATCTGCTCCACTGTCCCTGTTGTTGATTTATAATGTTTTTGTCATACAAGGTTAAGTGCAATCAACAAAAACTTGACCACCTTTCTGGCCAGTAACACAGCCCACCACCACTTATGTGTCCTGTGTTAATCACTCGTCTATTTCATGGACGTGTTATGTACAGAGGACAACTGTAGTTTTTTTAAAAATCATAATTTGTACAAAAAAATATATAAAGGGTTTTCAAAGAATGAATTGCCTTTTCAATCTTTAAAGTACTCCTGAACAGCCATACCTAAAGAGCAGGGATGTTAAGTTTAATCATTACAATCATTGTCTTGTTGGCACCTGCTGATATAAAGCTCGTAAAACTTTTTGCGTGTTTTTATATAGCACTTATAGGGTGAGTAAAGAGCCAAAAGCTTTATAACTCCCATGTGAAAGACTAATCTTTATTCCAAACTGCTCCAAGCAGACAAAACAGAGTATCACTGATAACTAACTAAATCAGTACTTCTCAAATAGTTGGGCGGCCCCCCTGGCATCATTCAATTCGCGGGGGTGTGGGTCGGGGCATATAGCTCTACGTTGCATTACACAGCAGTTTTAGCCTCTGTCCCGCGTCACACAAATTGAACATTTTGTCCCACTTTTTCATTCGACATTACTTACATAAAAATAAACTATTTTATGTACATAGCTGTCTATGGGCACGACTATCAGTGCAGTGCAATGATAGGCCACTTGGTGGATAGGGCGGTAGCTGACAGGCTGAGTGGTGTGTCAATCAAACTGCTGACTCGCAAAAATCAGACAAACTTTAGCCTCTGAAAACGTACAGCGCGCAGTTTTTTGATACTGTAAAGGCGCCCATGTGTAGTGTGCCGGAAAAAGAAGACACCACATTTTGGCTTAGACCGGTGGGAGGAGATTCTGAACGAGTATTCTGCAATTTGTGGAAAACGGGTTCTTGTCGGGCATGGTGGTGCTAATTGGAAACGACACGATGCACGTGAGTCTCACACAAGTACACAACATCAAACATCCCAAAGTGTGCAGTATTTTTTCTGCAAACAAAATGACACTGAGTTGGATAAAATTACTGTAGTAAAAGTTACCAGTGTGTACCATGCAGTGCAGTATGCACATTCATATTGGTCAACCGACTGTAGAAAATCTCAAATCTTAAGAGAGTTTCAGGTCAAGGGCTACTGTGTACATAGCTCTATAGAGTTCTACAACGATGCAGAATGTATATTCACGGCCATTGAAACTTGTTATGGCCCAGGTTTTAACATTCGGTTGCTTTTCTGCTACCAATGTGTTTCTGAAAAGTGCTAATCATAGTGCTGAGAAAGGCTGTTGGCCTGCCACCTGCTGGTGTCTGGACTGTGATGCAAAATCTGTTTGGTGGCGCTGGCGTATTTCTATTTTTTATTTTCCTGTTTTCGTCCCAGATGGCATATAATCCACAGGAGTTGTTGGTTTTACAGAGACCTGTTTACATTGAAATGGTTTAATTTTTTACATCAGGTCATATTTTGTTGGCCCTTATCTGCTTATTTTATGTTAAATGTGGAAGAATTGGGTAGATGGCACGTTATTAATCTCTTGGGAGTTCCCTTCGGGACATTTAGGCTCCAGTAGCAGTAAAGCACCAAAACAACAGCAAAAAATAGTTGAGTAATTAAATAATTATTAAAGTTACTAAAATTATTAATACAAAATAGGATAATGCAACAATAAATACGTTACATTGCAAAATGTGTGCTTTTTAGGTTTAGGTTATGTCCTGGGTACTATAGAGTTTTGTTTGTTTTGTGGGGGTAAAGGGCTTTAATTGATTACAGCTGTCCCTCATTGTCCCACTCAAACCTGCTACTTGTCCTGTATTTTGTCGGTTTGGAGGTGGTCACCCTGGGGGGTGAAAACACTTCTGTCTCCGGAGGGGGGGTGACAGAAAATAACTGAGAAGCGCTGAACTAGATCAAGTATAACTGACTAAATGTTAACTTATACAATGTTCCACCAGATGGCAATAATAACCTATAATAACTTGCTATTCAAAACAGCGCTCTCTGCTGGAATGTTGAGAGCTCAGCATATGACAACAGCATACACAGTAAATCTTACGGCAGGCCAAGAAAAAAAAAGTTGGTGTAGAATGATGCAGTTTTTCATTGTTTTAACATTTAAGATGTAAAAAAAATACAAACAGTTCTGGTGCTGGCACTGAAAACAAAACAACCATCTGTGAGTACATGGAGTCAGAAAGAGGTAAGAGTCGCCTAACTTTACTGTAGCAGTGGTCTGAGCAACATTAGAATAAACTATTCGTATAAAATACTTTTTAAGAGTCACATTTCCAAATTGTATATAAATATTTGACACCGAATTTTATCATCCACGAATAACATGTAGTTGCCAAACTTGTATGAAACAATGTTGCAACATCAATGTGAATAACGGAAGTGCTTATTATAGCACTTGAAAACCCAGTTGACATCCTATTTGCTAGGCTAAAGATGTACTACGCGTTTAAAACCCAGATAAGATGTCTACAGATTTTCCATCCCAAATATTTGAACAATATTTCAACAACTTTGTAGGAGGATTACTAAGATTACGTTGATGGGATCAGCCTTCACTTGTTAATTTCAGTACCGTACTCATTAAATCATTTCATGTCGTTGAGGCAGTTAAAAAGCTACCAGTGATTTGCCCAGAATCATGAAAGCCCGCCCGTTGCTTCTCTGCCGTCCGGCGGTTCACGCCACGTATTGTGCGATGTCAACGCAACTTGCTATTCAATTGGATGGACAGCTGATTTGTCCTATGGCGTTGAAATCTGCGTCGACACCGTAAACACGGTAGGTTGTGAGTATCATAGCGGCTGTCGGCAGACAGGAGGTTGGCATTATTGACGATGTCCTGGACTCAACGTAAAGTCAGTATTGAGACAGCGAATTTTAATTATTTGTGTCTGTGTACAGTGGAAATGTCGAGGTTCTAGAAACGTTTCTCTGTGTAGTTCAGCGTGACATTTTGTGCCCAGCTGGGTTTGTTCTTGGTTAAGATTTGCTAAGTCTGTCAAAGGTACAGCTATCAGCTTGCTCTGTATATTATTAGCTACGTAGCTATTAATGTATCACCAGTGTAGAGCTGACGTGCTGTTTTGAGTGAAACTAAGATTAATTTGCGTGTTTACCAAATTGACATGTTGGTGTTTACCACTGAATGTTAGATCAATGCTAATGACAATGTGATACAAACCTGCTCTAATGTTAATTATTCATGTTTGCAGATGTTTTGGAGCCGGGCCCTTCAGAGCAGCTGGCTCCTGCTGATGGTCCACTTCCTGTGCTCAGATGCCGTTCCAATAAGTGTGGACAAGACTAAAGTAAAAGAAGCAGAGAATCAGCCCAGTGAGCCTCCACCTAGTGTGGTAAGAGAGCAGTTTACCCACAATGATGCAACAGAATAACACAGGCAGAACGTTTTACTGGCTAAACGCAGTCAGAATTTGTGATGTGTAGAGCATCTGTAATGTATTAAGAATTGGACGTAACTGTCCCATGCTAACTGTTGTAAAGTATTGTAATTGCACGATTTAAAAGTATAGTGTTTTCAACATGCAACGTTATGTCTAACCCCAGTAGACAAAGTTCTCTATTTTGAATTTCCCTTTGTTGTTTATTGTCCATTTTATATTTTAATATTGTTTTGCTTGTAGATTTTAAATTGTATGTAGTTACTTTCCTAAATGAAGGTATATTTAGTTCCTCTTAATTTAAATTATTTTAAGTTCCTTTTATCAGGTTATATTTTGTTATTCTTAAGGTGTTTTATTTTTAGTAATTTCTACAAATATTCTTAAATATAACTCAGTGCGTAGTACTACCTACCATTACTTGACAGGTAGGTGGACAGGTTCGAGTCCATCAGCTGCCAAGTTGCCACTGAGGTGCTCTGAGCATGGCACACACCGCTCCACGGGCGATTGAGCTGACCCCTGCTCACTTTGGTGATGGTTAAAAGCAGAGGTCACATTTCCTTGTGTGCAGTGGTATGCTGTCACCTGAGTTTCAGTTTCACTTAACAAAACCTTTACATTAAAAATTATATAGTAAATGGCTGTGCTATTCACATTTGTAGAAACTGGTTGTATGACCCTGTCATTGCAACATGGGGAGAGTTTTATGGATCAGCCTCTGCGGCCTGGTTATGCCAAATTTACACCACAGGCCAGTACTGTAGAAGAAAGATGAAGTGTACTGTTTTGAGGAACTATCAATGGAACTATATACTATAATTGTGATCTTACTTCCCAAACTTTGACCTGGTCAAAGTATGGTATGACCTAATTTATTTTACATGACATGGCATGTAAAAAACTATTAATGTGTTGGTCGAAATGGAGATAAACTGTGTTGAATATAAAACTTTTTTCTCACATTTATTATAGGACACTGGACTACATTATGACCGCTACCTCAGAGAAGTCATTGATTTTCTGGAGAAAGACCAGCATTTTAGAGAAAAGCTTCACAATACAGACATGGAGGATATCAAGGTGTTGTACCATTTTCTGTAGTTGCTGCACATAGTAGTTCATTTATATATTGAGTAATATTTTATAAAAATGTAAAAAGTAATGTACGATATATTTTACAGAAAAAACAAGATAATGAAATGTAATCATTTATAGATGTATTTAAAAGTTAAATAATTTAAAAATTATACCTGCCATTTTATTTGCATGAAATTATGTAGCTGTAGCATTTAATCTTTTATTGTTCTGTGAATTATAGCAAGGCAAACTGGCCAAAGAACTAGACTTTGTCAGCCATCATGTCAGAACAAAACTGGACGAGTTAAAGAGGCAAGAGGTGAGCCGACTACGAACCCTGATCAAAGCCAAGCAAGACATTGAAGGAGGGAATGGTGTGTTTCTCAGAAAATATTTCACCTTCTTGTATAAAAATAGAATTCTATGGTTTGATGCGTATTACATTTATTGTTATATGTATCTCCTTGAACAGACATTGCAGTTGACCACCAGGCTCTGCTGAAACAGTTTGAGTACCTGAATCATATGAACCCACATACCTTTGAAGTGGATGATCTTGATCGGCTCATCAAATCAGTAAGTATATATTTAAATATCTTTGTTTCTGTTGCTGTGGAAAAAAGCTACACTTGGGTTGTCCAATCTGGTGATTTCAACAGGAATTTAAATTTTGGAGGACCACATCAGTGTTTAGTTTAATACAAAAAAAATTAATTGATATCATATTATATATTTTATTTTATCACTAAAATGTTTTCTCTACACAAAGGCCACAAAGGACCTGGAAAACTTTGACAAGGACAGACACGAGGAGTTCAAGAGGTATGAAATGATGAAAGAGCACGACAGACAGGAACACCTGAAAACTCTGGATGAGGAGGACAGAAGAAAAGAGGAGGAACACTACAATGAACTGAAAAAGAAGCACGCTGACCACCCTAAAGTCAACCACCCAGTATGTCTAACCTTACATCACTTTGTGAGGACCAGCTTATGGAGATTTGTGGATACATATCAGGTTTAAATACACCTATGGGGTGTAGGTACCAAAGGAAATGGAATTTTACTGTATGTCACTATATGTTTACATATGAACTAATGTTCTACATGCCCCCTTTATCACCTTGATGTTGTTTTCAAACCAATGTCTCTGTATTTGGAACTGACATATTATAGTTTATTAATGCATCATGTGACTTTTGCACAGGGCAGCCAGAATCAACTGAAGGAGGTCTGGGAAGATGCCGATGGTTTGGACCCTGAGGATTTTGACCCCAAGACCTTTTTCAAATTGCATGGTAAGAACCCAATGAGTGGCAAGTCATCCAATTTCAATACTGCACCGACAGCCAGATTTAACACAACATATAGTGACATTTTGTATGTTATAATGTAGATTCAAACGGAGACGGCTATTTTGACGAGCAGGAGCTGGAAGCATTGTTCACCAAAGAGGTGAAGTCCTGTGGTTTCTAAACATTTCTCTAAACGTGTTTGACACTGATGCTGACGGCGACACTGACCTGTTGTCTTTGTTACTGCAGTTGGAGAAAATCTACGATCCCACCAACGAGGAAGATGACATGGTGGAGATGGAGGAAGAGAGACTGCGTATGAGGGAACATGTCATGAATGAGGTACAGTAGGTTCCCGAACTTGTTTGACACTCTCCCAGTTCGCCACACCATTGAGAAATGAAATGCAACATTGTGTAATCCTTGCTTAAATTCTATTATCTTCTCTCCAGGTGGATTCTAATAAAGACAGGCTAGTCTCTCTAGATGAATTTCTTGTGGCAACAAGGAAAAAAGAATTCTTGGAGCCAGATAGCTGGGAGGTGAGGTTTCACTGTTGGATTTCAAAACAAACTTGAATATGTGTTAAAACAGAAAAATTGTTAATTAATCTCCACCCATCAGACCCTGGAGCAAAACCAGCTGTACACAGATGAAGAGATGCGGGAGTTTGAGGAGCACCTAGCACAGCAGGAGCAGGATCTGAACCAGAAAGCCTATGACCTGCAGAAACAGAGGGAGGAGCTGGAGAAACAACAGGAGCAGCTGAACGCACAGAAAATGGAGCTGCAGCAGGTGAACATCAACACAGCTGTATCAGAATACAGCAGAGTACAAACGTCCTGGAAATATGTTACTTAGTTCATGATTAGCACAAATTTGATTTATAAACAGCTATACATTATTTGAAAGATATGTAAATTAAAAGAAAAAGAACCTATCAAGTGCTCAAAGACATGCAATTTAGTAAGAATTAGAATCACAAATATGTCTATAGACCCCAGGAAGGAATTGTTGCTTCAGCTCCCCTGAAGTATTTCAAGAAAAACAAGTCATATACAGTACACCAAGTGTACTCTAAGCAAAGAAAAATAAAGGGTAAATATAATATTATAAATATAATCATAATTTCATAAAAAATAATGTAAAAATTACAACAATTATATAGACCTCCAAATAAAACACAGAATGTTGCAAATACAATAAAAAAATACAAGTGATGTAACCCAGAAAATTAACAGTGTATTTAAATATTGCAAAAATATTGCCCAAAAATATTGCTAGAATTGAAAAAAAAAAAAAGAAGGTTTAAGTTTTTGGTTTAAAAAAAAAAAAAAGAAAAGAAGGTTTAAGTTTTTGGTTTAAAAGTTAACTAACTAGGTAACTTAAGTTAGTCAAATGTTCACCTTCACAAAGTAGAACCTTTGCTGAAGATTCGTTTTAATTGTCATTTTTATATATAATATAATATATTGAAACTTGATGATTAACAAGTTAAATGGTAACTAAGAAATATTTAGTTCAAAGGTAACCAATAAATTATCCAAATATTAGAAAAGACATTGTGAAGTTAAAAGTATCTAAAAGGTGGCCTTTAAGATTATGCTATAAATTATAGTTACAGTTAACATTACCCTAAAAATAAAAATAAAAAGTGTTTTCAGTGCATCACAAAAGCCAAAATTTAAGGTGATTATGTTTACTGACCAAGTTTCCCCTCTGCTGTTACAGGCAGTTGAGCACATGGAACGGTTAAAATCACAGAACGTGGACGCTCCTCCAGAAGTCTATGGTAGGTGTTTACTCGTTGTCTTGAATACTGTTTTATTTTGGATGATGTTGAATATACTTAAAACTGTCTTTGTTCCAGTTGAAGGAAACCATGTCCCAGAGTTACACCCTGAAGACAATCAGTTGCCCATGGACAATGAGATCCAACAACAAGAACATCAGCCCGTTCACCACGACTCACCTGTGGAACATCACCAACAGCTCAGTGAAAATGAGGCTCAGTATGGACTTCCTCAAACACACCAAGATCTGCCACCAGGCCACCAAGAACTGTCACCAGACCAGCACATCGTGCCCTAGTGATTTGTCCGGAACTGGGGCTTCCATATCCAGACATTTTGCAGCACCTCCTCTCCTGTGTGTAAAGGATACATTTCTACTGAATTGGATTCTTCTTCAGTCAACGTGACTCAGGAGGTAAGAGCACATGACACAAGGGAAGGCTGCAATAACTGAATTCCTTCTGAATGAGTGACAGGAATCCAAATCTTTGGATTGTGGAAAAACCTACAAGGACTTAACGTTTTACCATTACTGCTCCATGAATGAATAAATGTTTCAAATTTAGTTTGGGAACAAAAATATGATTTTGTTTGAATTTCGTGAATTGTCATTGGTGTTCATTTTACAGAACCACGGTCTGATGCTGAAGCCTGTTTTGTGTGTACTGCTTTTTCCAGGAGATATAAAGTATAATTGTTAAAAAAAAAAAAAAGTATTTGACTTCATATTCAGGAATTTTAGTAAGATTTTTCTAGAAATACATTGAACCATAAAGAAAATAGATTTACAGGTTACATTTTTTGATGAACATGGTTCATCATCGTACGAAAAACTTTTTTACCTCAAAGCTGAACGTCAGGCATTCACGTTGTAAACATCTCAACCTTATTCAGTAACTGGTCATTTAAAGTCAAGTCCAAGACACTTAAATAAATGCAAGTTGTGTTCCCAGGGTTTCAGCTTAAATGTGTTAAAGCCAGAGAAAAGTAGAGGCCGACTGCACAAGACAGATTGGACCAGTCGAGGAAAAACTAGAATGTGGCCTCAGAAGAGTAGTCATGTTTACTGGCCTAAGTCAAGGTCTCTTAAAAAAAAAAGCTCAAGTTGCATGCCTGTTGATTTAATTCGGTTTAGTTTAGTTAGATTCCAAGGTAGAAATGTTTTTAATTTTCACAATTTTTTCAAGACGATCTCAGAATCATGTTTTGCAAAGCCTTTGACTTTAATATCCCAAATGTTCCCACACACAATTGTGGAATGCAGCTGAAAACATGTTGTTCTTCTGTCCCCTGAGTGAGTCACAGTGGGTATGACCTAAAATGGCAGCACAGCATCATGTCATCACTCAGACCTTACAGTCCAAGCTTTGTAAGATAAGGTTTTCACAGTGACTTTAGTGGTGAGTGGTGTCAGAGGCTGGATCGTGTATCAGCAGGTGTCACTGTGCAGGAACACAAGTCAGTGGTCAGAAGTGTCATGGACAGATTTCTTGGTTGTTTACTGATTCAGTTAATTATAAGCTTGTGAGATTGGCGTTATGTTGTGGTTCCCCCTGCTGGCAAACATCACTAGTGGTCACTTGTTCACTTGACTTGTTTTGCCTTACAACTGTTTTCGTTGCCATGTTTGTATGCCTGTCAGAGCTTCTTGAAAACAGCATTTCACTTTTTTTTTTTGCACAAATTATACAGGTGTTGTATGATTGCTTTCTGCTGGAAAAAATGTTTTAAATTTTATTGGTACTGGGCTCCTCAGTTCAGGACAGTACATTTATAAAAAGGATTTGAACCCTAACCTCACATTGAACAGTTGTCTAGTTTGTTGTCATAATTTCTTTGGTCATCTGGCATCATCCTTGAATTTATTTATAGCAAGTGTCTCTAACTCATGGGCTGAGGTCCGCTGTTGTCAGTCATAGAACTCATTGGAGACAAATTGGTTATACATGTTCAACACACAAAAAAAACTGTAACTGCTTAATCCTATAAATCCTGTATAAAGTTTAAATTAAAATGTCAATTCTTAAGAGCAAAATTAAATTACTGACACCTTGTTGACTTAAGGGATTGGAGGCCTAAAACATTGAGTGTATATTCCTCAAATAACCATTGAATAAATCCACTAGTGAACAGACCTCACAGCAGGATGTAATAGAACACAACTTTATTGAAACAGTCTGAATGGATAACATCAGCGTACAAAGAGGTGATGCTGCAGAGTAGTGACGGGGAGGGAGTTAAAAAAAAAAGAAAACATTAGTTTGAAAGAGAAAAGGTGAGTGATGACACAGGGAGGAAGAAAATTAGTCAGATGTCCTTGGGTGAACAGTGGCAGGGTATTTTTTGCATTTATTTTGTACAAAAAATAAATTAATGAAATCTTTCAAGTTTACAGGAATATCTATATGTTGTTTTAAAACACGCAGACATGCTGATAATCCTACAATGTGGTGAAGTTCAGCATTTTGTGTTACAACATTGAAGAGGATCTATACAGATCAAAGCTGATGACAGGTAGGGAATAGGACAGGAGTTTAAAAAAATAAGATTACAGATGAAAACTAAAATATTGTTAGAAAAAGGGAGCTTGGGGCAAACACATTCAAAAATCCTGAATGTTCAACGTGGCGTAGCTAGACCATCCCGAGGATGCTTCAGGACCTCATCGATTGAGCGTTACCTCGAGACAAACCTCGGGCTCCTTGGGCAGCACCACGTTTGTAGCTTTGATATCCATCCTTAATCAAACAAAGTCGTTTTGATTGGTTTGAATTTCAAAATAAAGCTACACATAATATAAAAAAAACCTAATAATCAGTACTCACTCGCTGGTAGCTGCTACTGGAATAGTCCCGAGGTGTATTCATTTGGGCTGGGCCGTAACCACTGCTGGGAGCGTTTGTAAAGGGAGGTCGGTATCCTTCATATGCTCCTGACAAACGTGCCATTGTGGTATTTAGAAGTGATGGCATCACAAGAAATCTTTGCTTGACATGTAAATACTTAATACTTACCTCTAAACCCATTCGAGGACCCCCTGTATCCGTTCATCATGCCCCGTGCATTCCTGGGCCCCCCTCTGGGTGTGGCCCTGCTGTTGTAAAACGACTGGCTTGACTGTCCGAACCCTGCGCCAGGATTGGTCTCTTCATGAGCTCCTGCAGGGGGCAGGACCTGGTCCTGGGGCTGAAACCCACTGACCACTAGTTGTATGGAAGAAAAAAAAAACATCATATGAAAGAAGTTATCAATAAATGACCTTTAACCTCTATCTTTACATTTATGTTGGACCAGAGTGGCTGTTTTGACCAGTGAAACACTGCACTAATGTAAAGTGTATGTCAGTCCATTTTAACAACAGTTTAAATTTGGGTATAATGCACCAGGTTAAAGCTGTAGCCTCACCTGACTGTAGTGTCTCCTGTGGGATCTCAGGCAAATCCACAGTGCTGTCTGACTGGCTGGTGAACCCTTGTCCATAACCACCAGGATACTGGGTGGGCTGCTTCAGAGGGTCTGCTTGGCCTTCACTGGACGGCGGTACAGGAGCATTCAGGTTAAAGACCTAGAGAAGTGGAGAGGATTTAGTTAAATTAACAAATGGACTTCTGGGATAAATATTTTACCTTAAGACCTGTGGAGGCGGCTCAGACAAGTAAAAACATTCACTGGTGTTTCACATATAACGGTTTAACTGGGAGAGACCCTACCGCTTGCACTGACTGGAATGGTGCTGCATTGACATTGATGCCTCCAGAGTGGGTGGGATTGGAGACAGACGGGAAGGCAGAGGACAGGGAACACGGGGCAGGAGACGGCTCAGACGATAGAGACAAGGAGACCTGGGAAAGGTACAAAGAAGGAACATTTGGAACGTGGGTCTTGGAACACAACTACCGTGATAAGAGAGGGATTACTGTTAAACTGTTAGGAACAAACTTAAGCTACCCACGTATACTGCGTGTCAAACGCTCGGCTTACCTGTGCAGATTCCTGTGGGCCAGACAGTACACCAGTCGGAGGAAGTCTGGACTCTGAGTGGGCTGTAATGAAAAAGAAAGAAAGATATCAGGGAGGGTAATCATGGATCTACAAGATACAATACAAGATTGACTCAATTGACCGCACGTCACTGCCTTGCACCCTATCCCCTAATTTAGGAACAACTGCATCCAAACTATAGAAAACTATGCTTAAAATTGTATAAATAAAACAAAAAACAAAGAAACTGCAGAAATAATAAATAAAAGATGTAGAAGTGACCTGAAGGACAGCCCATCTGCTGCAACTCAGCAGTCTGCACAGGCTTCATTGGCTGAGCAGACACAATGGCTGGATCCATGGCATGGCCGTCAAACTCCAACATAGAATCCTGGGACAAGCAGACGTGTTTATTAGGTATGATGTAGCAGTGAATTAACTCTGTTTGGTAACAGAGTAGAAAATTTGATGTGCTGAATCAATGTTGTAAGCTGTAATAATTCTGTTTTTCTAAAGTTATACTGTATAAGGCCTGAGATATTTGTTCACTAAAAGTCTCTTTTACAAAGTTTGAATAAACAAAGGTTGCTTATTTAGCCAAATATTTTACATCACATGTCAAACCTGTGGGCTGAATCTAATGCGTCTTAAAATAAGTCTTTAGCAAAGCCTATACCAGGAGTAGGCAACCTTAACCACTCAAAGAGTCCTCCTTCTATTTAGAGTTTTAATCACTTTTGGAAGACCTACAAGAAGGGTAAAAAAAAAGTTTTTTGCAAGCATTAACGTCAGTTTTGCAAACTTCAGTGTCAAATCAAACATTTTCATTAAATACTCATCGGCATGTAGTGGCAGTAGAGTGGAGCAGGGGACACAGTGACAGCTGAGGAGCATCGCAATGGGGTGGGGAGAGGGGGCTCAGTCAGCAGCAACAGTTGCAAGAAATCAATCGGTGTGTGTTTATTTTTGTAGGCGAGCAAATGGTGAGAAGGAGAGCAGCAGCCGGTAGTTCCTACATTGTTAGTGCGAGAGTACACGGAACGTGACAAAGGTGTGGAGATCTATGTTTGTTACGTTTTGGATGGACATTAGAAAGGGAGCACCAGAATATACCACTGGAGTTGGCGTATCTCATTCTAAGGGAAACCTACAGACACACACATGCATTACACTCTTTTTTCCCCAAAGCCACAGGGAGCTGCAGCAGAGGGATAAAAGAGCCACATGTGGCTCTGGAGCCATGGGTTGCCAACTCCTGGTCTATACTAATGTTAATTGGATAGGTTAAATGCAGTGGTCAAATCCCTTGTGTGTATATGAGAATAGCAAGTAATTAGCAAGTATAATTCTCCAATGCAAATTCTGATAAAGCCTCTGTTAACCACAAACTACCTAATCCATATTGCATGTTGATTTTGTAACCTCCCAGCAACCTGGAAATATCAACAATTGATCCAATAATGTTAAATTTATACTCCAATGGAAAAAACAGGTGATGTATTTCAAGCCACATATCCTACTTTCAGTGTTTAACATCATCTTTTTATTTGATGTTTATATTTTGAAACATCCTCTTTTTATTTGATGTTTATATTTTGAATTTAAATTTGTATTTATATTACTGAGAAAAAGGTTGTTGCAGTCTGTTAATTATTTTTTTTCTGAGTAAAGCATTGTCAGCACTTGAATGTTCACTAAATGTTAATCCACTTTTGCTTAAAACTTACACTGTGTTTTAGATTCTGGCCTCTTGAGTGATAGAGTTTAACCCCATTGTTTTACATAGAGACAATTAAACTGTAAATGTGAACACCTTGTTTATGTAACAGGCCTACTCACCTGCATGAAGTTGTACGTTCCTTGCATCTGGGCCATCAGGTCCTGCACCACCTGTTTTCTGACCACCGGGTCAGGGGTTGGCGCAGCAGCTACGGCGTTCACAGTAATACTAGGTTCCGGGACCATTGGTGCAGGAGGTTGATGTTGCAGTACATTCACCATCTACAGCAGACACACCACACAGCAAGTGTTAAGGACCAGCAGATCAGCACGAGGGAACACTGTGATACAGCACAGAAAACCTACCTGAGCCTCCACTGCCCACTCCTGCTCTTTATCTACACTGCTGTAGGAGTTTTCGGGAATGAACTGTCGGTTTACAAACTGAGGCACAAAAACGTAGGATAGAAATGTTAGAAACTTAAACTAAGATGAGTTGAGGTTTACCAGAGGATTAATGGGAGGATACATCACCTCTGTGGTTTCCACATTGATTGGCTGCGTTATATTTTCACTGGCCGTATCTTCTGGAAGGAAAAGCAACAGGTGAGACAGTTTAGTTTTTGTATGAAAGAAATAACTTCACTGTGTTTGAGTACAGGGGTTTTTTTTTAAGTACCAGGTTCTGATGGTGGCTCCCCTGCTTTTGACTCAACAGCCACCGTCTGCTCCTCCTGCTCCTCTTCCGGTTCACAAGATCCATTCTGATGACTCTGCACTCTGTCAAAGTAACCACTCAGCAGCACTTTTTCCAGGATCTCCTTCAGTGACTTGTCTGGAAAAAGGAATACAAGCAGCAATGATTGATTACAGTGTTTAATTTAATGACAAGAAAAATTTAAGTAGTATTTTAATAAATTGAATAATTTTTTTTAAATTTGTGTCACTTGATTTATTAGATTAAACTCAGTCTGCATAAAAGAACACACTAGAGTTTTTACAAATAAATCTTGTTAGGAGCCAGACAGACTCTTGAAAAGTACATAGAAGGTCTGCCCTTGGTGAGGCATCTAAATATTATGATAATAAGACATTTGAATCGCTTCATGTTCAGAATTAGAAAAAAATAGAATTCAATACTAGCCATTTTCAACTGTGTGAGGAAAAAGGAGCTGATTAAGACTTTTAGAGGTAGTCAGGTGTACTGGTGAAGTACAGAGGCACAAGTCTTCAAAACACTTACATGTGGTCCCTGCTACAGCCTTTTTTCTACCTTCCAGCAGTTCCCTCAAGTGAAGTGAAGCTTCTTCATATTGTTCAGTCAACCTACAGGTCAACAACCAGAACACACAGTTTGGTTATGAGCCACTGAACACAATCTACAACATCATCATCATCATCACGTGTGTGAAAATATATGGCATTTACAATATAGTCGAGGCTTTAATACTATATAAATAATAAATAAAGAATGACAACCACATTCATACCTGACATCGTAGTTCCTTTCAGGTCCCACCAGTTTGTAGAACTCATCTAGTGAGGTTAAATCAGCATCGGTGAGCATTGGTGAACCAGTAGCATCAGGCTGTTTGAGATCCTGCCTGACCTGCTCGTCCCCCAACTGGTCCAGTATAAACTGGAGCTCCAGAACAGTTTTTAGCCGCCGTTGCTCCAGTTCCTCTCGCTGCAGTTGTTCCCGTCTTGAAGATTTTTTAACTGCTTTCTGAACCTAAACACACAAGGTCAGTCATTAGGGACAGCAGCTCTCGCTGAGTGGAGAGTTTATGCTAAGAATCCAGGGAAAGATAAACATGACTCTTTTGATTAAAATCTGGATTTATTACATTGGTTTCTGCCATTAATCATGATAAATTACACTGTTACAAGGTGTAATTGGTTTCTGCCATTAATCATGATTAATTACACTGTTACAAAATCTACTAAATAATTCAAATATTGTGTATTGGTTATATTTATCATGTGCTTGTTGAATACTGCTACAAATTTAACACCTATACGTATAAAGATCCTACACCTCCTGCTGTCCATGGTTTGACTTCATGTTTATCATGTGTGTCGGTCATACTGTGTTAACAAACATTAAAGACCTTTTGGTGTTAACTGATCAAATGTAGTAACGTGAGAATTAAAAAGTGAACTTCTCCAGACCTACTCTTATTCACAGGTCACAACACACTAACTAGTTAACAGTGCTACCAATGTCTGTATACAACCAGAACTGATGGGTATTATTTCAACAATGATAATGAATGCTAGAGTTTGTTTGTTTTTTACAATTACCTTTCATCGAAAGGTATTTGATTTTAAAAATGATTGCATTTCTGAAACACTGTGAGGTGTCACAATAGCTAATGTCTCACCTCTTGACTCAATGCCTGGAAGCACTTCTGCAATTCTCGAGCAAACTCAAGGTTGTTGGTGACTTCTTGGTATTTTGACAAAGCATCCTTTAGAAACATGAAAAAAAAAACATGTAACAAAAACTACTTATTGCAAGAACATCAACAGCAAGGGTTTGTGCATAGTTGTAGTGTATCACACAAAAATAATTTACAAAATAAGTATAAATTTAAATGAAAAATATTAAAAATTTGTATATGTAGTGACGTTTGCATCAACTCACCAGTTGATCTTGATTCAACCTTTCTCCGTTATTCTTTTTTGCCTGGTAATCATCCAGTTTGCACTATGAAAAGATAGATCCAAGCATTAGGGTATATAAACAAAATCCTACATGTATATTGGCTATAAATATAAAAAGATGAATACCTTTTTCTTTTCCATATTGCGAACCTTCTTGTCAAGTACACCAAGAACATGTTTCATGGTCTCAGAATGACTCCCGTTTGCCAAGTCTGGAACATTACACTGAACCGCATTGTTGCCAACCATTGCAGAAGGCATCTAAAAGGAGGCAAATATATAAATAATGTATGTGATTATAATTCAGAAATCAAATATATTTTATAGAAGAAAATAAGAAGGTTATACAAGACTCAAAGGTTTCCTGAATTCCTTCCTACAGCTTTGGTCTTTCCCCTGGGATTTATTATAGAGATAACATTTGCAGTTCCTAAAGGTATTGTATATGATCCAAGAGCATCTAGTCAGTCTCTGCTAACACATCGGAGAGCAGGACAACAGTGGATTTTATACATTGTTTCAAATACTATAGGTGTGTGCTTTTCTACAATGACCAGCTTTCTGGACATTTTAAAAAGGTGGTGAAAGGGGAAATCTATAATTTTGTAAGGTGTACACTTACATATGAATCCGTTAATTACTGGTATAAAGGGGATGCACTTTTAATGAAAATCCTACAAAGCACACTTTTGAATCAATTATTTTTATTAGTGGGTACACAGTGTTGTATAGTTACAATGATCGGGTTGCGATAATATAATTTACTATAAAAACACAACTATAACCAAAATAATATTGCCATAGTTATTACGCATTCAGTGACGTCTCAGGTACACACGAGGAAACCGAAACTCTATTTCTAGATCTAGATAGTCGTGCATTAAAATGAAACTGCATTTTCTACGGTGTAACTTGTGATGTTGCACTCACAAAACACTGGACAGACAGAACACGGCAAAAATAAATCAAAGTTAAAATTCAGGCCTTCTAATTACCATTGAAGACCTCGAACTTTCAAAGCCAAATAAACAGTTCGAGAAATTCAGCTAAACAACACAGAGTTGCATTTATAGAGCGGACGCCACTGCGGATCAACACTAGCTTGCGACATTTAGGCACTTTAGTTACGATTTTTGTGGTCACCCTGTCCTATTGTTAGCTGAGAAGCTAGTCTGGTTTATGCGACTCTTGCCCCGGTTGTCGTACGTTAAATGTAATCCAATTAAAACGTACAACCAAATATTGCTTTTAGTTTCTTAAAAATGGGTCTGCCATCGACGACTTCGATCGAGAAAAAACAAAGAGCATCTCGGGATGTTGCGGCAACCCGTGCTGTTCGAGCAAAAAAAACGATGTAAATTATATAACAATTCATTAACTACCACGTTTTAGTGGTTAAGACATATACACACCTTTATACTCTTTGTCTTCACAGAGGTCTCTATGGTCAAGTTTAATGGTAGCTTGGTGGTAGCAGTTTGCGTCTTTCACCTCCAGATGTAATTTTCCAGGATGCTCCCACCAGCTAACGACTAAATAGTAGCTAACTGCAAATGCTAACTGTGGGGCTACAAGGACCTTAATGCTGACCAACGCCTGCCTGAATGTAAAACACATGCATAAATTCGAATACAAATGTAGTAACTTGGTGCCTCCGTTATATTGCGCAATGCACTTCATTCGTGAATTTGGTTACGTTGAATATTGTTATAATGTATTTTAATGTTTTATTTTGACCACGTATAATATGAAGAGTTAGAGTAAAATAATTTACGTTTTATATTTTGGCGAAAGTGTAACAAACAAGCAACTAAATCGATTAACTTATTTTACGATTATTTCTCTTTAAAATACATTGGAAACAGTTTCGTGACATTATTTTTAAATCATTACAACATTAAAGAAACAGGTATTCCTTTGTATATTTACCAATTTCTAAGCATTTCATTCAGTTACTGTTTGGACAACAAAAATGTACTGCGTAAATTCTAAAAAAAAAAACAACAACAAAAAACCCAGCACAAATCAAGACGTTTGGTAAGGTAAGGTAATAGCCAAACATACAAACAACTGCAACTCTGCAGAACAATGAATGTTCGTGCGATTCACATCTTGCAAAATCATTCCTTCAAACAATTACACTTCATTAAATAATCAATAAAAAAACAACGCACTATACGTGATGTACAATATATATAAAAAATCTAATACAAATTTCTAACAGACGATGGCAGTGTTGTGTTGTTTCTTTTCTTAAGCAGTTGTCTGTTCTTGTGTCGCGTATTAACTGGGATGTTGAAATTTAATGGCACATCAGAGTGCATTTAAGTGTCTAATGCTCCACAGATTCATTGGTCAAGGCACACAAACCTCCATGAACCCCCACTCAGTTTCCCACAATGTTTTCCAGGTTGCACATTTGTTTTAAAACAGTGGTTTCCAAGCTTTTGTTCTCCAAGAGCTACTTTTACAAAATGAAAATGGCTGAAAGCTATTTATGTTGTGTAACATCTATTTTTATAGCCCAATTAAAAAAAACTCAATAAGCTTTATTTGCCTAAACATTTACAATATGTTCACATATAACAGTTTCCATTCAAACATCACCACCACATCAAGTATTATTGTTGTTGTTGTTTGGAAGCATGGCAGTCCACAAAGAGCATCCATCTTTCAAGGCCCAGTATTGTTTCTCCATTTTGACCAAATAAGCTGTTATAAGCTATTTTTATTTTATTTGTCATTGCCTATTGGACAAAAATAGCACAAAGGACTGCATTCTACAAGTGTTTGGCAATCGTCCTGACCTGAGATATAAACGCTGCATTCATGCTGTGCGGAAGCGAACTTAGCTTTAGCTACAAGGGTACGCAACAGTAGGAAAATTATTCAAGGTTGGAAAATAACCTTTTTTTTAATCAGTAATATCATCATTCTATTTTTTAATCGTCCCTAGTATCGAAAGATTTGTTCATGTTCACAAAGGTAGGGCAGCAGAGTGACATTTTATGAGACGATTTTATTCGGCCAAAAGTTTGGTTCCATGTCAGGGCCTCTGCTGACAAAAGAGAGGAACTGGACTCATCAACGTTTGATCTCCACATTGAGTGTTCACAATAAGTTTTCACACCTCTATTACGACTTGCTTTTTCTCTAATGCCAAGTATGTCTGTTAGTCCTGAGGTGGAGGTGTCAGGAACCTAAGCTCTTCTCTCTGATGTGGTTTGCTGACAAATGGCTGTACATCCTTCAGAGTTTCCTTTCTGCACCACATCTGACTGGACCAAATATGTGCAGAGGATTTATTGGCTGAAAAGCCACAAGGGCCGTACAAACACTTAGGTCCCAGACCACTAGTAGTACAGCTCAGGCAAGCAGGAATTCAACTGCAACCTCAGTGATTTCCCTCGACTCTGTTGCTCTACTCTTCCTTTCATATTTAACTCCTGCTGCATTTGTTTCTCAATGACTCTTTAATTTATGTTTTTATTCATCCTTCTTCTGCCACTATTCTCAAATTGGATCTATTTTGTGACGAGCCCCAAGAACTTCAGAGGTGAAATCAGGATCTTGGTTGTTTCCAGACTTTCTGTGTGGTGAGGGGCTTTTTTCTGCTCACAGTCTTCCTTCAATTAGATGGGCAACATTAATAATTCATGACCCACATGTGTTGGTGAAAATAGACCAGTTCATTGATATTGTTATTAATAATTCATGACCCACATGTGTTGCAGACAGATTACAAACATCTTCACTTAACTACTATCATTATCATTATTACAGCGGGAGAATTTTATTCACCCTCATGCTATTTGTGATTCATGCCATTGCGGTTTAATTTAGAAATGAGGTTCAAGGGTAGACTTGTTTATGCCTTTTAGGACAAACTTGGACAATTAATATTTCCAGTCCTGTCACTTTTGAAAATCAAATGCAGTTTTGGCAATTTTGGCATTTTTAAAAAATGTTGTAAATATCGTATTAGCTGTAGAACTTATAGGCCTGTTGATGGTCCTGCTGTGAGTTAGCATGTTCTCCACTGGGATGGAATCCAACTCCCTGAAACCCTGAAAAGGATTATGTAGTGGATGATTAAGTATATTTGTCCTCGCTAGTCAGAGAAAGTTATGATATATGTATTGCGTATATATAAATATGTAAATAGTTTAACCATCTCTAAAAGCTAACCTTTAGTTATCCTTTGCCTAATTAATTTCTGTTTGTTTAATCTTAATCACGATAGGCTGCAGTGATTTGATTTAACCAATCGATGTGGAATTCATCTTTCCACAGCACAATGGCTGAGATACAACACTTAACACTGCTCCTCTTCTCCACAGCAAGCGTGAACACCCAGACCAGATGTGAAGGACACTCCTCTAACTAACACCAATTTTGTTTCTGTTTTGTTTCAGTAACAAGAAATCAGGTCGAAATAAATGTTTTGTTGTTTCTTTTTGTCATAAAACCACTTTAGAACCAATCAGTAACAATCTATACTGTCTCAAGATATACATGACCATGGTGTCGTTTTAAAACATGTTTTTTTTCCACATCAATGTAGAAAACCCATCTCCCACTACACGTTGGTGACAATCTTTTCAGACACAATTCTTTTCCTTTTGGAAAATTTCAGATTTCAAATGTCAGACCCACAGTCAGTAGAAACCAGTTTTATTGAAATGGATGACTGCAGAGCTAATGCTGAATCCTCAGCTGCTGTATAGACCTCTCCACCAAAGACCTGTACCACTCTCTAGTACCAGACAACTTGTTCAGTCTTCACAGTCTTTTCTTACTCCAAAGGAAAAGAGTCTTTAGAAATGGAAGTTGTTGATGGCGTCTGGCACAGTGATCTCTTTTATGTATTTAATTCACTAAGATTTGATGTGTACAAGTTTACATATCATCAAGCTCAATGTTCCATTGTATGTACTTTTTTGTACTTTATCTAGTGTACCCAGAGCACCTCTTGTATTCCTATAAAATGTATTTGACACAGTGGTAACCTTTAAGACCAGATCAGGTCCACACACTAACCTAACACACTAACCTTCCCAGAGAAACCACGTCAATGAAGTACTGTGAGAGCCTTTCTTTGGTCATTATTTCTCCACTGATTCTTACTTGAACACTGATTTTTTTTTCTTTCCTAGTTCACAACTAAGCTTGTCCACTTTCTCTTTCTTGTACAAACCAAATTGTTTTCCTGCAAGAAAATAAAATATGCAAGGACAAAATGTTTTAGTTCCAAAACCCTTTTTTTAACTTGTTAAATTCAAATACTTGATAGTAACATACAAACACAAAAATGTTTCTACTATCCTCTCACCTAAGCAACTAAGGTAAAAAAAAAAATCAGATGAAAGTACGGTAAACTATGACCTCTGACTTCCTGTTCTGAGTTGCGTGACTAATGCTGGCTCTCAAAGCCCAACCTTTCACTGGGTCATCACCAACGCTGACTGCATAGAGACAGGAATCCAGTACAAAAACTGATGTTATCTGACAGCATGAAACCAGAGCAGACCTGGAACCTCATGTTCCACCGTCTTGAGCTCATGACAGCATCATGGGAAGCCATATCCAGGTTGAAACCAGAATTAGGCTAACATCTGTCAGTTACAGTCTGGAAGGGAAGCTCGATGCAAGTAGTAACTATGACATGTTTTCATAAATATTTAAGTTAAATAAATATATACATACATAAAATACATTTAATTTCCGTGCTGGCATTTGATCAATATCAATTAAATAAGGACTGAAAAGGGATGATTTTGTGGTAATGTGTTGATAATACATTTAATCACATAGCTAGAAACAGATGCCGGATTTGATTGGAGAGCCGAAATGTTTGACCCTGTGCTGCTTTGAAACATAATTTGGTTTTGGTTAAAACTCAGTCAATTTGCCCTCATGCACATGAAATATGTCACATTTGCTTGCATCTAGATATCCATCCAAATCAGTTTGGATGGATATCTCTACCAAAACTAAGGGCCAAAAATCCTCCACTGTCAATTTGTGTATCTCATCATTATTTGTCAGAACCTTACACTTTACCTCAAGTGACTTTTGCCCCCCTGAAAATCAAAACAAGAAGTGGGGAGTCCTTTCCAACTAGGTTTCTAACTGATTGCAGCTTTACCATGAAGATGGCACTGACCGCTAACTATGAACGGCTGCTAAAATGGTAACAGTATTTACTCAAGCTATGTTGTGTTGCAATAGTTTAATATAGATGAAACATAGTATTTAATAAATGCGATAATAAAGAATACATGTTTAGGATTATTTTCTATTCCGATCTTGAGTGAAGTAAATCTAACTGGCCTAAAAGTCTATAGGTAAAATAGGAAAGGACATGTAAAGTGGGAGGACCTGTGAAGAAAAGCCCTCTTGACAAGCTTTCAAATAAAAAACTCAAGGCATGTTATACACACTTACCCTTATGTCATAAAATTAAACAAAGACCTGGAGAATGGCAAATGCTTCAAATGAGCGTGGACAGAGTCGTGATACTTCGCATGTACATTTCTTATATGTATTCGAGAAACTCTGTGACACACAGACGCC